CTCTACCACTTGAGCCACAGCGCCACTTCCGGCTTTTTTCTTTTTGTTTATGTGGTGCTGAGGAATCGAACCCAGGGCCTCATGCATGCAAGGCAAGCGTTCTACCACTGAGCTGATGCAACTCTTTTGAGTCGGTGTCTGTTTGTCACTTCGCTGACTCCATGCCCACCTATCCTGAGATCCCTGTCCCGTCGGTCCCAGTGCTCCAGCCAAGCTGGTCTGTCACAGATCATATGGTAGTTCTATTTTTAAAATTTGAGGAACTACTGGTCTGTTTCCCAAAGCAGTTGCCTAGTTTTTATATTTCCACCAGCACAACACAAAGGCTCCACGACTGGACCCCTTCCCCCGCCCACCAAAAGAAAAAAAAAGAATATCCTGAAAAGCAAACTTGGAGGAAAACATATTTACATCCAGCCTATATTCTCTGACTGGGAAACTTTTGTCTCCCAGCATTTTTGTTTTGTTTTGTTTTGTTTTGTTGGTCATGGGGCTTGAACTCTGGGCTTGGGTGCTGTCCCTGCGCTCTTCAGCTCAAGGCGAGCACTCTACTGCTTGAGCCACAGTGCCACTTCCAGTTTTCAAGTGGTTTATTGGAGATAAGAGTCTTATGGACTTTCCTGCCCAGGCTGGCTTTGAACCCAGATTCTCAGATCTCAGCTTCCTGAGTAACCAGGATTACAGGCATGAGCCACTGGCACCCAGCTTGTCTCCCAACATTCTATCTCTTCCTCTCATCCGGCTAAGTAGGTGTGAGAGTTCTCATTTATCAAGGACTAGACCACAACCATTGTAGAAAAAAAGCTCTTGTTACCCTACTTTCCCTTAAGAAGGGGTCAGAGACAATTGCCAAATGAGAAGATTTGAAGTGAAGCTGAGCAAACACTTTGTGGAGGAGACAGGCCATTCAGGGAGGTGGCCTGGGAAACAGGGCAGCTCTGAGCCAAGATGAGTCTCCTCCCACCTCCTGGACGCGCCTCCAATAACTCTGAAAACAGACTCAAAACTTTGCCAGAGCAACTAGAAAATGCCAGAAATCAGAGATGGGCCTTTGGTGTGAATTCCCCTCGCCCAACTGCACAGTGAGTTAAGAGGTAGGAGAAACAGACCTCCGGGGGCCATCATCCCTCTTTCTCCAGAGACAGGCTTGCTCCAGGATTCCATTTTAACTAGGTGGGTCCCTGAGGTGGGATCCATCCTTACACACACACACACACACACACACACACACACACACACACACACACACACGCTGCTCCTTAAGAAAAGACCAGTCCTTGGTTCATGCTGTTCATGGGATTTATTGTCACAGGTCAGTGGGCAGCAGGGGAAGAGGACAGACATGCCCACCATGAGGTGGCATTGAGCCACTCAGCACTAGTTACACACTGCACACGGTGGGAGGGAGGAAGGGAGGCCTCCTCACTGGCAGCAGCTGCACTTCTCTGCTTCCTCCTTGCTTCCCTCTGCTCCTTTGCACACGCAATCACTGCTGCACTTCTTACATTCTTCAGGGCAGCAAGAGCAGCAGCCTGCAGAGAAAACAGGGGTATCCAATCTGACGCCTCCCCTCTGTCTCTGTTAAAGGGAAGGGAAGTGCAGGGGAGGATGTGGGGGGCTGGGGAGTCACCCCGCTTCAACCAGTGTTGGTTGTGCCCTCTTCCTCTCATGCCCGGCCTGACTCAGCATCAGACAGGGTCACCTTGCAATTAGCCCACAGCTGGGGAGCCCTGGGGATGGTGTGTGTGGGCCTAGGCTGAGGGAATGCTAGGCCTTAGGGAGAAGACACACAAAGCTAAATGGCCTTGGAGGAGTGGAGACCAGGCTGGTGTAGAGGGTTCAAGAATCCTATCAGGTGCCTAGGCCTAGTTTTATACCCAAGACCAGAAACAAACCCTCACTTGTGCACGACCCTCACTCATGCATGTAACACTGCTGTGACTGGGAGGTTTGGGAGTTCAAACTGAGGGGGTCCACAAGGCCTGAGAGGCACCAGGAGCTGGAGCTGCAGAGCTGAGCCCCTCCTCCCCTCAGCCTCTCTTGGGGCCTCCTCTGTCAGTGGAGGTTTTAAATCATGGGGCTCTAGGTGGACCAGGGAGCAGTTCTCAGTCTCCAGTCTTCTGAGAATTTATTACCCCAGCACCTTCTGTATCAACCCCTGCGGATGGGCCAGGGCCTCAGTATTTTAAGGTCTGCCCGGGAGGTTTTGCAAAGCAATGAGGCTCTCACTGTATCCCGGACCGCGGGGGAAGGGGCAAGGGAAGAAAGATTGGGGGGGGGGGAGAACTCACTCTTCTTGCATTTGGTGCAATCGCATCCGTCACACTTGCAGGAGGAGCCCGTGCAGGTGCAGGGGCCTCCTAGGAAAGAGAGGCCACAGGAAGGGTTAATGTGGTCAAACTCGGATCCCTCCCCCACTCCTTGCGTAAAAGTGGGGACTGGGCTGCCACATCTATGCTCTTCGCGACCTGGACGTTCTCATCCTTTTCCAAGTTAGAGATGGGAAATGGGGGCCCTTCCCTCCAAGTGTCCTTGGGCAAAGGTCGTGGGATTCTTTGCTAGCAAAGGGGGTCTGCTGTGTAGCAGAAGAGGGGTAGGGGACTCACCAGTAGTACAGGGGCAGGTCTCAGGGTCCATGGCGAGGCAAGCAGCCGCTGGAGACGGTGAACCGGCTTCTCCAGGCGATCCCACGACGCACCGCACGGCTGGTGGCAGCAGGTGGCCAGGTTTTTATAGCCCCAGGCGGGGGCGCGCGTGCAAAGCCCGCTGGGCGTCGCCCCCGCGCACGGCGCCCGCTCTGCCGTGCGCACTGGCCCGGGCGCACTGCGGCAGCCGCGTTCCCCCCGCCCCAGTCCCCGTCTCTGTCCCCGCGGTGCGCACCGAGGCCGCTCCCGCGACGTACCGCGCGCACCAGCTTCTCCGGGCGCCTCGCCCAGGTTGCCATGGAGACGCGTCCCTGCTGAGTCCCACGACGCCGCAGCCGCTGGGAGCGAGCTGGGCATCTCCCGCAAAGGAAAGAGAGGCGCTTTGCCCTTCCCCAGCCCTTCCTGGCTCTCACCACCCCTGATCCTAACAGTCTTCGTGCCAGTTTAGTCCAAATAGGGTGCTGAGTGGGAGCAGAAAGAAACCCTTCACCTTGATCCTGGCACTGCCCATTTCACTGCCAGAGGCCTGGAGTGTAAAAGATGGCCATAGAAGGGGCCAGCATTGGGCTCTTGGTTGGAGGGATATTGTTTCCCCGGTGTGGCAGCTCCTCTACCAAGGCCTTCTCCCAAGGGCTCCTCCCAAGGGCTCTGAACACCCTGCGAACCTTAACTTCCACCTGGGAAACCTGTCTCTCCTGCGGTGGTGATTCATTGTTCTCTTTCTTTCTTTCTTTCTTTCTTTCTTTCTTTCTTTCTTTCTTACTTCCTTCCTTCCTTCCTTTCTTTCTTTCTTTCTTTCATTGTTGGTCTTGGGGCCTGAACTCTGGGACTGGGCACTGCCCCTCAGCTCTTCAGCTCAAGGCTAACTCTACCACTTGAGCCATAGTACCACTTCAAGGCAAGCACTCTATCACTGACCCACCTTCCCAGCCTGGAGGTGATTCTTTAGGGAGGTGGGCCTTCAGAGGTGTGTGTGTGTGTGTTAGTCATGGGTCTTGAACTCTGGGCCTGGGCACTGTGCTGTCCCTGAGCTCTACCACTTTGAGCCACAGCTCCACTTTTAGTTTTCTGGTGGTTAATTGGAGACAAGTCTCACAGACTTTCCTGACTGGGCTAGCTTCAGACTTCGATTCTCAGATTTCAGTTTCCTGAGTAACTAGGATTACAGGTGTGAGCCACCCATGCCTGGCTGGTTTTGTTTTCTGTTTTTTTGTTTTTTGTTTTTTTTTGTGTGTTTTCTTTTGGGTCCGGTCATGGGGCCTGAACTCTGGGCCTGGGCGCTGTCCCTCAGCTCTTCAGCTCAAGGCTAGCACTCTACCACTTGAGCCACAGCGCCACTTCCAGCTTTTTTCTTTTTGTGTATGTGGTGCTGAGGAATCGAACCTAGGACCTCATGCATGCAAGGCAAGCACTCTACCACTGAGCCAACCTCCCAGCCCACTTTCTTTCTTTTTCTTTTTATTTTTTTATTGATGCATACAAGGCAAGCACTCTACCACTGAGCCACCTGGGCAAGATAATGAGTACATTTCTTATCAAGCATTGTAGCCTCCTCCTTTGTTTCCCCTTCCCATCTCTTCCAAGCCTCCCTCCCCCCCCCCCAGCCCACTTTCTGCTTTTTTTGCTGATTAATTGGAGATAGGAGTCTCACAGACTTTTCTGACTGAGCTGGCTTCTAACCTTGGCCCACAGATCTTAGCCTCCTGAGAAACTAAGATTACAGGCATGAACCACCAGCATCCAGCCCACCATCCTTCTTAAGCTGATTTGCTTAGGTGTTTTGTCACAGCAGCTCACAGTGAATGAATGAAGTCCTGGTGACTGGGTTCACACCGAGACCTTGTCACTTACTAGGAAGGTAGCAAGTTCTAGTAAGTTATTTGATTATCTCTGTACCTTGCTTTGCTCAGGGGGAAAGTAGAAGTAATGTTAGTGTCTGCTTCATCCATTTGTCAGGGGTTTAAATGGGATGGCATTTAAAAAGCACTCAGGGTCTGGTAGGGTCCTAGTCATGCTGACCTTCATCATTTATAAATGAGATTAGATAAGGACTCTGCAGGGAACTAATGCTCTTATATAACACCCAGCCTCATTTCCCGGAATGTCATGGCCTCCACTTGATACAGGACTACAGGGGTCAGCAGTGACCCAGGCACATCCATTGGTCCTCACTCTAGGCCCTGCACCCAATCTAGGAGCTTCCCAATAGAAGAGCGTTCATGGGGACTTACCTTTAATTGGACTGGAGCCAACAGGCAGGTTGGATGAGGGGAGGAGATCATCCAGGTTCTCACTGTAAGGTCCATTCCTGGATGGCAAGCAGACCCCACCCAGTACCTGCATTATCTAGGCAACTGGGACACCTGGAAGAGGTCACATCTGCATCCGCTGAGGTCACATCTGGATCTGATGTGGCCACACCTTTCTCTCACCTGGTCCCACCTCTTACCTGGTCCCACTTCCCTTTACCTGGACACACCTTTCCCCGCCCCTACCCTATATAAGGCCTAACCCAGGGCCAGATGCCCTCTTTTGCCAGCCTTGTGGAGTGCCAACCTTGCCTGGTCCCAGCAGGTCTACTAAATAAACCTACCCCTTACCTGCATACCACGTGCGTGGTGCTGTTCTTACTCGGCTACTTCTTATTAAAAACCTAACACACACCAGCTAAAATCCCCAAATGATCTCACAAAAGCAAGATAACCAGCAAGTCCCACACCCTATCTGAAATTGATCCAATGTAAGATTACGCTTTGTTCTCAAAGTTCCTCCATTTACTATTCTGGGACTATACAGTTGTTCAGGATTTCAGGAATCTGGGTAAAAGTGGTATGTGAAATGACTGAAAATATGTTTATCTGAGAATAAAAAATAAAGGTGTGTGTGTGTGTGTGTGTGTGTGTGTGTGTGTATGTGTGTGAATAAAAAATAAAGGTGTGTGTGTGTGTGTGTGTGTGTGTGTGTGTGTGTGTGTGTGTGTGTACAATCCTGGGGCTTGAACTCAGGGACTGGGTACAGTACCTGAGCTTCTTTGGTTCAAAAATAGCACTCTACCACTTGAGCCACAGCTTCACTTCTGGCTTTTTGGTAGTTTATTGGAGATAAGAGTCTCACAAACTTTCCTGCCCAGTCTGGCTTTGAACTGTGATCCTAAGGTATCAGCCTCCTGAGTAACTTGGATAAAAGGCATAAGCCTTTGGTACCCAGCAAATAGTCTTTTAGTTGGAACAATTTGGACTTATTAACTGAGTGACATTGAATGAAGCAGCTGAAACTGGTGGCGGGGTGCGGGGGGGCAGGAGTACTAGTTTATGAGTCTATGATTTCTAGTTCCAGTTTGCTCAGTGAGTAGTTGTGTAAATTGAAGGAAAGCTTCTCCCTAGTTTGCACCAAGTATTCACATGGGTCAACCAGATGACTGGTAGTGGTTTCTACATATAAGGTCTGCTGTAGGAGGCTTATCACGTAGAGGGTGCCAAGTGTCTGGCCAAAGTGTATGCCCACCATCATGAGGAACTCTACACTTTGCAAGTTATCTCACTGACTGCTTCCAATTACCAGTAAGGTAGGCATTGCTATGCCATTCTTTGTAGGTGAGGAAACTGAGGCTCAGAGAGGTTAATTGACTGAGTTGCCATAGAGGTAGGACTAGAATAGAAATACAGTGCTTCTCAGCCCCCCCCCAATATCTAGACACCAGGCTCCTGGTGTTAATTAATAATTATATATTATATTATACTATTAATTTTTTGTTTGTTTTTGTTTTTATCCGTCATGCAGCTTGAACTCAGGGTCTGGGCTTTGTCCCTGAGCTCTTGTCTAAGACTTTGGGTCACAGCTCTACTTCTGGTTTTCTGATGGTTAATTGGAGATAAGAGTCTCGTGGACTTTTCCTGCTCAGGCTAGCTTTGAACCTTGATCCTCACAGCTCAGCCTCTTGAGTAGATAAGATTACAGGCTTGAGCCACCAGTGCCTGGATATTAATGATGTTTCAATACTCAATGTAAATATCATCATAGAACCACATAATCTTCCAATCTGCAACAAAGGAAATCATCTTGTCTCCTCTCTACTCACAAGGCAGGTATACAGCCTCTGGAAATGCCTCATTCAGAACTCCCAGTACTAGCAACAGCCCTGAGTTATCCGTTAGCACACCTATGAGGTTGCATATAGTTCCCACGTGTGTCGATTGTCCCTCCCAGGGAGGCTATGAGATTCTCCACTCCCAGCTGATCAAGGTTTCTTCCTGGTATATCAGGAAGCCCAACTTTTATCTGCAAAGGGACTGAGTGTCTGAGTGAGGCTGTCATTATGAGTTATAGCAACTAGCTACCTCTGGTTACCTAAATTCTAGAACGTTGTGACATTGACTTCCCAGTTTTCACCAGCCTATTGATGTACTTGAGGTCTTATCCCTGACTTGGCTAAGTACCTGGCCTCCTCTCCTTGCTCCATCAACCCTAGTTTGAGAAGTAACCCTAAGACTTCTAAAAATTCATGCTATGGGTGCCATCTTTTTTTTTTTTTTTTTTTGGTTGGTCATGGGGCTTGAACTCTGGGCCTGGGTGCTGTCCCTCAGCTCTTCAGCTCAAGGCGAGCGCTCTACCACTTGAGCTACAGCGCCACTTCTGGTTTTCTGGTGGTTTATTGGAGATAGGAGTCTCACGGTCTCTCCTACCGGGGCTGGCTTTGAACCGAGATCCTCAGATCTCAGCCTCCTGAGTAGCTAGGATTACAGGCGTGAGCCACCAGCGCCCGGCCTATGGGTGCCATCTTGTTTTAGCAAATGTGGAAACCAAAGACAGCATAAATCTTGGTCAAAATCACACAGCAAAGTTGAAATGGAACTAACATTTCAACCATGTCTCTTGGCTCAGTGTCTGATTTCACTGGTCCATCTTCCCAAAATGAGATGATTTAAAAAAAAATAAATTAACCTCAAATTGCATAGTAACAAGGCTATTCTCCCAATCTTCCTGATTATTTCAAGGAGCTCAGTTTCCATGCTTTTCTCCTACCCCAACTCCCCTGTTGAACAGAGAAAGGGTGAGGAGTCAGGAAAAGGAT